CTAGATCCTCCATCCGTATTTGTTGAAATCAAGCTTTTTGGTGTATCTGAAAAATTTAGTCATTTATAATAATCGCATATATGAGTACTGTGTCAGCTTTGGATGGTATCAATTATCCAAAAAAATAATCTCATCAATTATATTATCAAATCATAAGGTATAGCCAATACTTTTTAAAGAAAGTTAGGAAATCTAATTTTATTTATTCATAAGTGGCCCAACTTCAAAATAGATTGAAATATGAAACCCAGTTTTTGAAGCATTCAATTTTTATACATATTAAAAGTTAAGGCTAAGGCCAAACCAGAACTGTTTTAAAATCTGAGCATCTAATAACTCTTTTCGGCGTATGCTGCCAACGAATTAATAAATAATTATAGAAACTCCTTTTCTTCAATTACTATATCTTCCTTATCGTCAAAATAATTTTTATTTTCGTTTTCGCTTTTGGTAATATTCATTTTAAATGTAAAATAGGATTTAAAGAGGAAATATATCTTACTTTATAAATTGTAATTTGTTTTTAAATAAAACTATATTATTTAAAAAATAAATATTTTAATAAAAAATGAAAATAGTATTTATTTGTATTCGTCTGAAAATTGTGAAATCGCAATACAAAATACCTTTAATCTTTAGTAATTTTGTTCAACGTGACTGAAATTTGTTTTTTTAAAAAAAATGATAAACGAAGTTCCTTTTATTTTAGGCGAACTTTGTACGTGAACGCGTTTCTTTTATTTTAACTTGTTCAATTTTAGAAAATCCTCTTATTTTTATTCTTTTAGAAATATAAAATATTAATTTAATATTAAACGAAAATTTTTTAAGAAAAAGGGTTATTTTTAATCAGCTGTTTCCTTTATCATATGTGAATTTTTAGCCAGACATTATTTCTGTCCTTTACTATGATTTATTAATCTGAATATTATTATTTATAGAGCGTAAGCATGGTTAGTATTATTTCATCATCATTAACTGATTCTGAATTTTCAGAATCAGATGAATTAATACTACCATGATTTAATTATAATTAATACTTTACAATTTACAGTAACATCATATATTCAATAAATTAATTCTATCCCTACCATATGTAAAATGTGTCCAAAAAGAATAATGTCAGTTTCAAAATCTTCAAGTTCCAATTTAAAGAGATACTTGATTGTAATATTTATTATTTTATATAGAGGGTGGTCATGCATAGTCAGTTTAAAATATAAAATTAATAACGTTTAATTAAAATATTTTATACCTCCGTCTAATGACAAAATAGGGTCAGATTTGCAGTCACAGGTTGGGCAGCCCTTCTCATCCAGTACATTTCCAAAGAGACAATAAACATCACAAACAGGTGGGCACCTATCTTTAAAGGATATTTTACTTATAAGAATGTGAATATCGAGCAATAGAATTGATCAGTGGAAAACAAATTATCAGGGGTTATGGTAGCATTTAAAAATGCTTCTAAATATCAATAGTTTTCAAATTCGCAAATTATCCCTTAGATTCACATAAAATTTAAAAATGGGTAAAGTTCACACAATCTATTTTTAAAATTGTTATAATTATTTAAAAAGATATTCAAAAATGGGAAATGATCTTGTGTTTTAGCATGTTTGCTAGTTTCGGTATTAAAAACTATATAGATCTTCTGCCATATTGCCAAATTAAATTATTTAAGAAGTTGATATGCTTTTAAGATATAAATAATTACGTATAATTTGACAAAATACGGTACATTAGATATATACCAAAGTGAATGAGAGGAATATATGGAAATCATGTGACCTTTTTAAACTAAATTTTTCTTCCAAAAATATGTAAACCAATAATACTAAACTAAATTAACTCAACGACCAATTTAGACAGAAGAGTTAGGCCCATAGTAAGCTCGATTTTCTCAAGTTAATCACTTAGCAACGTATGTTTCAATTTCATTATAGTAATTCATTGTATCTCCCAGTTGTTAAAAATTATACCTATTCTTTATTTTCTTTTGTAAATTAGACAGTTGAATTAAGCGAATAACGCTTAATGTAAACCACACCTTACTTTCTAGATAAAAATGTCGATTGAATAAAATGAAGGAAAAAAAATGAAAAAATACCAAAAAAGAAACATTTTCTTTACTCAGCTGATGACACGCATTTTATTTTTCCGTGTAAAAATTATTTAGATTTTAAATTATATGAAAACCTAAAAATTTCAGAGCATTTATTTATAAAAAATTCTTCTTGTATGGAAAACAATATGGCGTATCACCAGCTGATTTGTATTTAAGCTGTAAAATTAAAATTCGTGGGGAAGCTATGTTGAAATAAAAAAATGAAATACAAAATTAATAAAATGCAAAATAAATCGTATTAATATCTATACCAAATAAAAATAAATGAATTTATGCCATTTAAATTTCTAAGTAACTTTCTTGACAATCAACATATAAAAACCATAAAAACAGGTTAATCGATAGAGGATCTAAAAAAAATCGAATTAAATTAAAAGTATACTTGATTATTACATAAAAAATCTCATTTGGTTTCCTCCTTACCTTTTTACATTATATAAAACAATAACAAATTTTCCTTTAAAAAAAATCGGGAAAATATGAGCCATATCCGGAGAAGAATCTATGTTGTGGGATTGTTGTAAGAATATTATATTTTTCGTTATTTTGTTTTGCATATGAAAATGATATATTATTAATAAAAGGTTTATATATAATGTGATAATTCCTTATCAAGGGGTCAGCCTCAGGTTAGGGACTTCACCTACACAAATGCCCTCGCAGAAACCCAGATAATCTTCAATTATAGATCCTTCTTATTCATTAATACCGATCTTCTGCTCTATTTTTTACATTTTCGGCATCAAGCTCAATGCTTTTTGGAACACTAAGGAAGGGGATTAGGAAAAAGACTGATCAGCCCAAGGAATCTCTTTTTTCCATGCCTCCTTATACTTTCTTTCCTTCCCCTTCTTAGTTTCTCTTTATTATTTTCTTTTTTAGAGATTTCTTTGTTTAATTTTTACCTTTTTTTTATCCAAAATTATAATTCTATATTTATCGTCTTTATTATTTTAGTCTTCAAAAATTTTTTACATGCCTTTCCTTTTTTATCATATGAAACATTAGTTATATTTACTTAAATGAAGAAATAATTGAAGGGTTTCAATTTTTCATATATTAGAAAGTACCTTTCCTTCCTTGAAATACATATAGTAAGATTTATGCGGAAATCATAAAGAGGATATTTTGGAAGATGTTATGATTGTTTGATTGAATAAAACAAAATTAAAATATAAATTATTTTAGTTTAAGGTATATAAAATAAAAAATGTTTTATTAAATATTATATACCTCCATGATTAGGGTCAGATTTGCAGGCACAGATTGGGCAGCCCTTATCATCCAGAACATTTCCAAAGAGGCAGAAGATTTCACAAACGGGTCTGCAAATATCTTTAACGAATTTATTATATTTACAAGTGTTGTGAGTCAATGATATTCATTTTTGTTAAATTTTTTAGATTTTCTTATAATTTTGATTATTTTCTTATTCTTTTATTTTTTATAATGTTGTCTTGGCTAATATGACAATGAAGATCAGTATTTTTTATATATGAGTTTAATTATTATTATTTTAGCAACCTTCATGCTTAACATGCTTCGGGGTTTTTCAAACACTTACTTTTTAAATTTTCTTATTGCCTGCCAACAATTATTATAAAGGATTGCTCAATGGCCAACAAATTACTAGGGGACAGATGCTATTAATATCCAAATTTTTCAAATTCCCAAAATATCATTTTATTAACACAAATGTTTAAACTGTATAATTATTTTTAAAAGTTAAAATATTTAAAAAGATATTCAAAAATGGAATGATCACGTGTTTTAGGATTTCTTGTTGTGAAATTAAAAATATATTATCTGTCATATTGTCAAATTACATGTTTTAGAAGTTGCTGTACTTTTGAACAAATAAATTAGAGTAACACTATCAGAGTGCATTATGCACAATTTGACAAAAATATGTACATTTGCTATAAAGTGAATGAAAGGAGTATATGGTAAATATGTTATCCTTCTGGACTATTTTTCCCCAAAAGTATGTGCAAACAAATTAAGCCAAGGATCGATTTAGATAGAGGAGTGATAAAAATTGAGAAATTTTTTTTTTAAATTTTGATGGAATGGGGAAAAAAATCAAAGAAACATGAAACATTTTCTATATTATTGTCTAAGTTTGATAAATTAGTAATTAAAATGCGATATATAATTTGTTAAATATTCTATAAAACTTTATTTTATAACACTTAAACTATACTCTATATTATTTATTTATTGCTAGCTCAATATATCGATTTCGATAACTAAGTTACCTTTTTAGTTCTCGTTAGTTTATTGTGAATATATGTTCGGGTTAAAGGTGACATAATTATCGAAAAAGATTAAAATCATAATTTTACTTTTGTTTGTCGCATTGTAATCTACAGGGGTTCCTGAGAAATAATCAACTAAGCCTAAACATTTCGATATTTAAATGCGTTATCAATTTTTTATAAATTACCTAAAATAACCAGACAAGCAATAATATATGATAAAAATTTCATATTCATATTGGATTAAACAAGTTATAGGTGAGAAAAATGAGTAAAGTTTATAATAATGTTGTATATTTATATTTATTAGGCCTTTTTTTCATATTGAAATAACATTATTACGATTTTTTGGCAAAGATGGTTGGCAAATAATGTTTTTTTTAAATTGTTAATTAAATTCTCATATACTTATGAAACAAACAAAATGACCTTAAACTAGATTTATATTTTATTGTATTTAGACGAAAAAATGAAAAGCAAATTAGCAATTTCTGGGAAATTAATTTTATAAAATTCGTATTTTAATTTATAAAGTGTATAAGGCAGATAATGATCAAGTTCAATTTTGTGAATGCAAAAATAATTTTAAAATATTTTTTGGTATATCTTTATAGTTTATTTAGTAAATTTTCTTAGGGAAATTTTTGGGAAAAATAAGAGAATATATAATCAGGAAATGTCAGGAAAAATTAGAAGAAATAAGGTAAATGGAAAAATAAAACAGTTACCATAAACAATTCATTTTTATTAGCAAATAATATTATTAAAATAAGAAAATCGATTGACAAATAAATACGGGATTGAGCCTATAAAAGAAGAGTCTGTAAAAAGCGAAGAAGTAACTTACCAAAATAATTTAAACGTTGTTTGGATATTTTTATATTTATCTACGGTAGAAATTAATAATTAAGGAAAAATATTTGATTTTTTAAATAATCATAATTTTTTAAGTTATAAAAATATACACAGGAGACATTTTTAGCCTTTTGTGGGACATGTTTCAGCCTATAATTTTCTATACATTTTATTCATTGTTTTTTCCATATAAAAAACACAACAAATATGATATTAATATACAATTATGATATAAATTTAATCACATTTATTACAAATTAAAAAAGGATTAAATTCGCAACAAGAATTCATGTTTGCATAAATAACAATCTCGGCATTGGAACCAATATTCATTTTGATAGTGTCCTTTTTTGCCACATACCAAGCATCATTCTTTTTTTCTAGCGATATTTATATATATTTAATATTTTTTTTGCTTTTCTATTATTTGTTTGTATAGTGTGGTATTTTTTATATAGAGATGATGTCAAAATTGATAATGCCATTTGATTTCTAATAATATCATAACTCGGTAATATTAAATTATTTGTTTAGAGATAAAATGTTTATTTTATATATTTAAGACACTGATATCTTCAAAATTCTACCATGGCCGTACTATAGTTTTAAGAATATAAAAATTTGATTTTATTATATTATTTTGTGTTTGGGTAAAATATTAATGATAGCAAGCTTGGCTTGTACAAAATTGAAAATCAAAGGATATTTGGTTCCAATGAATCAAATTCAATTGTTAAAAAATTGTCTGATTTAGTTGTAAAGTAAAATTTGAGTTATTGTCTTGTATAAATTTTTAATCTTATTAGATAATGGAACTGACATTTTGAATGTTTTTTCTAAAGCTCAAGATTTCATGAAAGGAAGATTTGTCTTCTAATTTTAAAGGTTATAAGTTTCATATATTTCAATCCAAAAAGGAAGGGTATAATATTTTCATTCTTAAATATAATATTATATTTAAGCTTTACAACCAGCATGTTTTATGCTGCACTTGATTTGATAATAAAGAAGTATATTAAAAGATTTAATGGTGAATCCATGAAATTTTTAAATCAATTCTCATTTTTTACATCAAATGGAATAGTTAAAAAGACATTTATTAAAGATAATTTCGCGGATATCTGTAAATTTCACTATTTGAATTCAAGTCAAGTTTTCGACGAATTCTAACATTCGTAATATTTAATGATGACCAAAAAGGTGGATACATATGTTACAAATAACCTGGAAGTTAAAATATCAAAAGAGTTATCAGAATCTGAGAATTAAATATTTATTTTATCAAAATGTTTATTTAAATACATTATTTAGCTTCTCCTGATGATAATGATTCTGTGACTTGTTATGACTTGACTGGAAAAACTATTCTTCTATTTCATCTTACTCTACTTTAAATTTTTCTGCTCTAATTTATCAATTCATATAAATGTTTATTAACTACTTTCAACCTCAGATACTACTGGACGGGTCATGAGCAAAATAGAACTTATTAAAACAAGACTTCGGAATACTTGGAAAGATTCATTTGTAATAAGTTAACCTAACTTTTTTCATCTTATCTTACTCTAACTTATGTAAATTATTATTTTTAAAAAATATCTTAAATTTCCTTACTTAATTTTAAATATTGTTTAAAGTTTATAATATTATTTACATTATTATAGTTATTATAATATACATTTTTTTAAAATGATTATTTCATCTATTTTTATAATTTCGAAAATTGTAATTGAAGGTGGGAGTCAAAATTTTAACTACTTCTTTTGATAGTATTTTTATGAGGGTATTATTCAGGAAAAGTGAAGTGAAGTAAAGTAGTAAATAATAATTTCATTTTCATTAATAACATTTTCATTTTTTCTGATTAGTGGGTACCTAGGTAGCTCGGAATATATAAACACACCAATTTCCCTGATTTTATATTTATTTCAGTTACATTTATTTAATTATAAATTATTAAAAGGTTTTACATCCAATTATTTAAACAGGACACCAAAAATATAATCATCTGTTATATATTATTGTCCATGTCGTCACTAGCCCTTACAATCTCAAAGGGCTCCAAAAAATTTAAATTATTTCAAAATTACCTCTTTTTTTAGCTAACTCAAAATTATCTTATTTTTAGCTATTCAAATATAAAAAAAAATCAAAATTTTGAAGAGGTTCTTCAAAAACGTTACTGCTATAGTCTCTACCAAAATTATAGTTTACCCCCCCCCCGCCAACACACCAGTTATTAAAACTCTAGAGTGACATAACCAAGATTAATTTATGGGGTTATAAACCCTCATTTGCCTTATGAAAAATTTTGATTATTATTGATTTTCCAGTGATTATTTTATTTTGCTTTTTAAAATTTGAAACATCTGTATGTCATCTCTGTTACAGTAGACTGAACAATTGGAAACACAATAAATGTAAGCCATTGTTTTGGGCTTTATGAAGCCTTATGAGTGTTTTAACCTGTAGAATGATCAGAACATAGTAAAAACAATTAGTAACAAAATTTTTTGGCTCAACTTTAAGCTTAAAAAGCTACTAAAAGGATTTTTTCTGAAAATTATATTTATGTTTAATGCAAAATTGTATTAGACTGTATAAAAAAGGTTACTAGCAAAATAAGATAAAATTGTTATAATTGGCATCATGCTAAAATAAAAAATATACAATAAATAAATATCTGGACTGAGCTAATATTTAGTACCTGACATGATTAACACATTAATTCCTTATTAATTATGCTAACTACAAATTAAAAAATTTATATAAAAAAATAAAAACGAAGACCGTAAACTTTTGGGAACACTAATTCTGTAACTTATTATACCAAACTTGGTAGTACATTAGTACATTTATATCCTTATTCTGGTACCTGATTTAAAGGGGGAAAAAATTTATGGTAAAATAAGAAATAAATTGTCAAAAAACTACTCAAATAGTTTACATTTTAGTATAATCTTTATAGCGTTTGATTAACAATATATAAAATAAAAAGATTATAAGCGAAATACGAAAATAACTAAAATTCTCAAGATTTAATAGAACTAAGAATATAGGAATATTAAGACAATTATAATAAAAAAATTTTTTTAAAAGAAAATTAAGATCATCATTATAAAAAAAACTTTTTATTGAATTTCAAAAGTTAACTAGATATTTCAGGTATGACTTTGATACTCTTATAATTTACCAGTGGTAGTATAAAAAGGTAGTCAAATGAACTTGTGACATTTTTGGAAACATTGATACAGAAATAAGTTAGATTGATTACAGTGATTAAAAATAATTATAATCTGATTTTCTACCTTCAAACGTTATGCCTTTTACAATTGATAATTAGAAATATTTTTAATCATGGCATTCCTACATTTAAAAAATATACGATATGATAAATGCTATGTTAAAACCCATTGTTAAAGAGTAAGTTTATTTAATACAAACATACATTTATTATATCAGGAAAAATTTATAAAATTAATCCTGAAAATTAGAATTTGTAACAATTATATATTCTTTAAAAAAATCATTTTATTTGTCCAATAACGAATAATAAAAGAAAAAACATAAATTTATTAGCATAATATATTAAATATAACTTCAGTTTCTAAAATTTGACTTTCAAATCATTTTTGATTATTTATAACATTGAATTTATATATTTAAATATAATCGTATCGTATATTCGTATAAAATTTAATATTATCTTGACTTTATTTCGTATCTGATACGATAGGTATACAATTGCATTGTCCACAATTAACGGTCCCCGTTGGACATAAGAAGCGGCATAACAATATTGTAAAACATTTAATGTCTATAAAAAATTAGTCAAAAGATATTATTAAAAAAAAATTAGCACTAACTTTTAAAACAATTATATACATTATATTAATTTAAGGGTGAGACAAACAGGTCGGCATCTGAAACCTCTTTTTACAATTATATTGAGGATTAAAAATTAAAAGTTAAACTGAATAATCTATATTAGCCTTTGTAAAATTAATAATAATATTAGAGTGATGAATTAGAAAAAATTTAATTTTAACACAATATACATATACTAGCTAATAACCCGTCAAGAATGGCGTGGTCGAGGGGTAATTAGTTAGTTTGTGTATATGGTATACTAAATATGCTTTATAGTAAAATTTAGGAGAAAAAGAGGTAAAATTGTTGCAATGTAACCCGTAAGCATTAAGGGTAATAGAAATATCAAAATTTAAATTTGTGATAGGTATCATATTGGGTAAATTTAAAAATAGAGATTCTTTTAAATTTTTGAACTTTAAATATGGACTATTGGCCTCAAAATTTTGTTATGCAGACACAGCTAGGCCTGATCAAAAACCACGTCCCATGCAACTTTCCCAATTTGGCCATTTATTTCTATTGTAATTTAATAATAATGTCTTAAATTTAATTTTATATTTAGAATAAAATTTAAATTTGTAATAGAAATCATATTGGGTAAAATTTAAAATAGATATGCTTGAAATTTTTTTTTAATATGGACCAGACATTGGCCTGATTTTTTTTCTTAAACCTTGCTAACCCATAATAATTTTGTAATTTTTTCCCAAGCCTGGAGATAGGTAAATCTCTGAAAATCATATTGTTGGGAAAATATTCTCAAGCCCGCCAAAGACCATAATAATTTTGTTAGTTGAGAACTGAAATAAAATATATATAAGTCATAATTCATTTAAAAATAAAATCACAATATGAAAGAATCAGGCCTGACAATTTCTGCAAAAAATTTCCAGGCCAATGTCTAGCCCATATTTAAAATTAAAAAATTTTCAAGCATTTCTATTTTATATTTTACACAATATGATTTCTATCACAAATCTAAATTTTATTCTAAATATAAAATTAAATTTAAGACATTTTTATTAAATTATAATAAAAGTGGCAAAATTTTATGAAAGTTGCATGGGACTTGGTTTTTTGATCAGGCCTGACTATGTCTGCAAAAAAAAATGTTCAGACCAATGTATAACTCATATTTAAAATTCAAAAATCTTAAAGCATCTCTATTATAAATTTTATCCAATATGATTTCCATTACAAATTTAAATTTTGATATTTCTAATACATGCTCACGGTATACATTGCAACAATTTTACCTCTTTTTCTCCTAAATTTTTATATTTATATAAAATTTATTAATAAAGTATATTTAGTACCATACACACAAACTAAATAATTACCCTTCAACCCCTTCTAGTATGGTAATAAACGGCAGAATTTTAAAAATATCAGCAATTAATTAATATATATATATAATTGAATTTTAAATTTAAATTTAATTTTATTCAAGTTGGTGCATGCTTAAAACATACGACTTTGAAACGGGAGGTTTGTGGTTCGACTCTCGTAGAGTGTAAAAAAATAACATTACACTATATAGTCTCCTTAAATTTTAAATACATTAGGAAGATACGAAAACGATCATGTTTTGATTATCGAGATTATATATATTAGATAATTTATATAAATTACGACTAGTAATTAACAACCTATTACATTGTGAATAAATGAGTGTCAGATACCGAGTTTCACACGAAATTACGTGAAAGACGCAACGCGCCTTATGAATGCAAATGCTATTGAAGATGTAGAAAGAGAGTATAAATATAAATATGTTGGAAGAATTTCTCTCTAAACATTACAATTAAATTTGGTATTTTTTTTGTACCTGTAGGTTTTTCATCCACCTTTGTGATATTCGAAATCAAGCTATTTCGGGTATCTACAAAATTGAGTTATTTTTATAATAATCGCAATAATAACTATACTATTTTAAATGGCTTAAATGGCAGCAGTAAAACGATCTCTCTAATTAAATTATCAAATGATAAAGTCTTGCCAATATCTCAGGTGCCTAAACAATAAGCCTCCTCCCATTCGCAAATTTTTCATTTCTCTTAAATATCATTTTAAGTTACTAAAAATTTCCCCCATTTCAAGACAGAACGTTTTTTCAAAGCGGCTTTTAGGTAATATAACCTGCAATCAATTTTTGCCATTTTTTTAATCGTAAATAGAAAATACTGGTTTGATTTTAATAACGATTAAATGGCGTTTTGAAATGTGGCTCTTAATTGTGTTTTTAAAAATATTATATAATTAATTCTAGAATTTAACATTTTTTTTGGAAATAAAATCGCTGGTAACATTACCTAAACCGCTTTGAAAAAAACTTTCTATGTGGAAATGGCCTAAGGAAGAATTTGAAACAGTAAAAGTTAACCACTTTTTAAAATAACGATAATAATTCTGATGTTTTTAAAAAAGGTTTTTAATTTTTTAAAAAAAAAGAAGTGGTAACCCAAAATTATTTTACAAAAATCTAATATAGCCAAAGTAAAATTTATTGGGAAAAAATTCATCTAATAGTGCCCCTCCCCCCTTTACCAAAATCCTGTACACGCTATCGGCTTTAATTTCACTTATTAAATGTGAATTAAAAATAAAAGTCGCGCATCTTCCAGGCGCGAGATTATTTTTTTTTATTCTAAGAATATTAAATTTTATGCGTGAAGTTGGAATTTATAGTACCTATGTTCAAGCGGTGCTTAATTTACAAAATCAAACCAATAGATTGGTATAATTTATGAATATAGTGTTATGACAATAATTGCATAAAATTTATCCGGTGTTACAAAATATGCGATACATAAAAATAATAGCAAACTAGATAAAAAACAAAGTATATGATATTTCTGAAGTATTATATAAAAAAGTTATTAACCATTTTAAAAAATATTAAAGCTATGAAAAATCAGCTGTGATTTCGATAGCGTTAAATAACGCAACGCTTGAACATAACACGTTTACTATAAATTCAGCTTTGGGCTATTATCATAAGGACGTTCTTTCGTTTGAACGTTCGATAAATTGAGCGTTAAAAATCTTTAAAACTATAAATATTAGGTTATTCCACATATATTTTTTTTAAATTGTAAATGGCTTTTTTTAACTAACTCAATTTTTTATAATTATACTATTCTATTTATACTTAAAAAATCGGAAATATTTATAAAATTGTCATTGAAATTAATAGAAAGTCTTATGAAGAAGGATAATCACGAATTTGTCTAGTGATAAATCGAAATTATAGATATTTCAGATAATGACAAGTTTATAGATGAACAGTGTATAATGTTAATTAAATATATATATATAATCTTATAGGTTATGAAACCATTGCTACTCCTTCTTCAATTATGGAGGGTGAATGCAAAATATTTGGGATGTCTCATTCCTCCAATAATCTTAGTAATAATGAATATTAAAAAAAATGGACTTATATTATCTACAATTTATAATTTAATTATATTTATTTTAAATAGATGAGAATACTCATATAAATATGAATATATACTTATTAGCAATCATTCACCTGTTATTTAAATTCTAGTTTTGGATAAAATTAGAGGCCAACGAAGGAAAAAAGCTTTCATTCATTTTGAGAAAAGATTTTGACAAACATAAAGAAAAATCAGGTTTGGTTTCTTTAAATAACAATACACATGCCAGATTAAATCGATAAAGATAAAATATATTTTTTAATGCGGATCTGATCAATCTTTGTTAAAATAGACATAAAGTTATTCAAAACTATTTTATATAATATATGTGTAATTTTATTTTTATTATAGTAACAATAACCCGTTACTTTTTCATTAAATATTTTGAAGCATCGTTTACAGCACCATATATTATTAATTAAATATTTATTTATGTATAAAGTAAGTATAATAATTAAAACAAATTTAGAAGCATAATTTCTAACCATATTAAAAATTATAAGATTGTACACTCCCCCCCCCCCACCCTGACTTGTAGTTTATAAGATATTTTCCTTCGAGTAAATACAATTTATATAGAATAGGGTATCTACCTTTTATTTAAAGATTATTTTTATTGGATAATTAAATCTTTCATTATTTTATATATTATTTAAAAAACTGTAGCATTTGAAAAACTTAATATTTTCTATTTTTAATATTGAAAAAAATAAAAAGCCACTGAATATAATATATTCTGGAAAAAAGTTTCAGGTGCTCACATGAATCAACTGCAAAAAAATAATAAATATGCAATTATTATTTATTTTTTTGGAAAGGGGTGGCGAGGTTGTAAAATTATGCATGGTTGGTCAGCTTAAGATATAAAATAATTAAGTTTTTTTCCAATTATATACTTCTGTACCTAATTTCGAAATATGGTTTAAATTGCAAGCACAGGCTGGGCAGCCCTTGGTATCTAGATCATTTTCATCGAAACAATAGACCGGACAGCTGCAATAATCTTAACTAATATTATATTTAAGAGTGAAAATATAGAGAATTATTGTGAATGATTGATCAATAAATAATAGGGAACTGGGCAGAATTTACAGATTGTGTAAACTATAAAGGCCCATTGATTTTAAGCTATATATCCATTTGATTGAAAGAAGATTCTTTTTGAAAAATATCCTAACTGTATATAATATTTTAAAAATTGTTGAAACTATTCGGAAATGGAAAATAATCAGGTCTTTTGGCGCGATATATTGTTGCGATATTATTATTTTCTGTCGCATAGCCAAAATGCATTATTTAAGAAACTATGCTTTCAAAGAAATAAATTAGAATATTGACACTATAAAAGTGTCATTATAATTTGTCAAAAATTGACAGTACATTTGCTATACCAAAGTTAATGAAATGAATAAATTTATGAACATGTGATCTTTCTTAACTAATTTTTTTCTTTTTCAAAAATATATGAATCAATGCACACTAAACTAAATTAAAGACCAATTTATTAATTATGTCTTGGAAAATAAATTGTTTTATGCCTTTTCTCTCTTTATAATATATCAAATATTAGTTCTATTTACTCACATAAAAAAAACAATTTAACAGAATTATTTTTAGTTAGAATTGTTTATATTAAAACTCGCTCACACTAATCGCATCGCAACATATGATTTTCAATGTCATAAGAGAGATTCATCGCATCGCTCAGTCATTGTAAATTATACCTATTCTTCACTTGTTTTTGTAAATTTCACAGAGATGAACTTATCGAATAACGCTTACGGTAAACTAAACCTACATAGATAAAAATCTCGACATTAATTTCCTTAACATTTGAATAAAATGAAAAAGAAAATTACAAAAATACAAAAAAATAGGAACATTTTTCTATACTATTTTATCTTTGAAATTAAATCAAAGTTTGATAAATTAAGCAATTAAAATGAGATAATTTGTTAAAAACATATTTGAATCTATTATTTTATATAACTATAATTTTAATGCTACAATTTTATTATTTTATAATATATAAAGTATAGGCTATGATATTTTATTAACCACTTGTAAATATATCAATTTCGATAACAATAGACCGATACCTATTTAGTTCTAATTAGTATATTGTGAATAGTGAAGGTGGACAAGTTTTTTTTATTATCTAAGTTTGTTTTACTACTCAATTCATATAATTTTGTTAATAGATTGTGTAGAATTTATTTTATATTATTTTTCCAGAGGTATATTACTTTATTTTTTGTTGAATTTCATCTTCTTTCTTTCTTTCTTTTTTATTTCATTTTTATTTTGCAATATACTATGAAAACGAAAATTTTGTAAAAAAAAAGAAAGAAGTATTTTATTTTTATTTTGATTTGATAAAAACTAAAATACCAGTCCCAGACTGATTTTTTATATTTGGGGCAACGGTTTAAACCGGTCTTTTATTTGATGACGGTGGTCTGGTTTATGTGTATCGGTCCGGTTTGGACTAAAAATATGGTGATGACCTTCACTAATGGTTAATATATAATATCGAATTAAATGCGACATAATTATTGTAAATATCATAATTTTTACCTTTTGGAGCATACGTCCTATTGATTGCTGTCGGGGTTCCTGAGGAATAATCAACTAAGCCTAAAATTAATAATTTCGATATTTTTATATTTTTTTTCTCAATTGCAAATACCTACCTAGTATAACGAGAAAAGCAATGGTATATGTTTCAAATTTCATATTAGATTTTTAAAAAGTACGGAAGAGATGAATTTTGTTGTAATATAATTTTAGATTCGTTAAATTTGTACTTTATATTTAATTTGCATAAAGAGTTCTTTTGGATTTATTATTATAACGCGTGATAAAAATATTATATTTGAATTGAAAATAATTTAAATGAATATTATTTATAAAGAAGATTGAAAAGAGTAAAAATTCCAATACCATTGGGGAGATCTTTTACAAGGTTACAGATTAAATCATGGGGAAATTTTCATATATTATTTTTTTTTTATTTTTTTTTTTAATATTTTTTTTTTATTTATTTTAAAATTTTTTATTTATTTTTTTTAGATTGTCTGGATTTTGGTAGAAATTTTTGAATGTTACCTTTTTCTTTCAATTGGCGTATTTTTAGATTTTTTTTTTGATAAATAAATATCGTGTGGATTTTTAAGGAAATTTTTTGATACAATATCAAAGTTTTTTAAATTTAACATTGTATATATGTTATGTTTATTCAAATAAATTGATTAATTATTTAGTATACCTATTTTTATTAAATTCTTAAATATACTCTGTTTTTCTAAATTCTTAAATATACTTTTTTTTCTAAATTCTTAAATATACTCTTTTTTTCTAAATTCTTAAATATAGTCTTTTTTTCTAAAAAATATACTCTTTTTTTCTAAATTCTTAAATATACTCTTTTTTTCTAAATTCTTAAATATACTCTTTTTTTCTAAATTCTTAAATATACTCTATTTTTCTAAATACTCTTTTTTTCTAAATTCTTAAATATACTTAAGATTTTTTTTTAAATTTAAAAAAAATAATAAAAAAAAATATATTTTAAAAAAAATAAATAAAAAAAAATAAATAAAAAAAAATAATATATGAAAATTTCTCTATGATTTAATCTGTTACCTTTTATAATTATTAACATTTTTGTATTTTATTTTTTATTTTTATTAATCTTTTTATTATTTTTACTTTTATAATTTTGTTAATTTGATAATGTTATAATTTTGAATAAAGAATTAAATTTGATTTCATGATTTCGTGATTCCTAATTATTATTAATTTCTTTTTTATATATATATTTGTTTTCTATTTTTATTATTAGGTCTCAAAAGCCCCACATTCAACAAATTTATAATTTATTTATTTATCTTTTACAGGTTAGGATTATTTTTGGCAAAAAAAGTTTGCATAAAATAATTTTTGAATTGTAAGTTTTTATATACATATGAAATAAACAAAAAATAACTTTGTACCGTATCCTAATAAACTTATTTATATTCTATTGTATATTTTAATATTTTTTTAAAAAAAATCCGATGAAATAATTAGCGATTCCTGGTAAATTAATTACAAAATTTCTTATTTTAATAATTAAGTGTAAAGGCAAATAGGGAAAATAATTTTGTAAACTAATATGGAGTCATTATATGGTTTCAGCTGAATAATTGAGAATATCTTACGGACTTCATGCCAACTGTTCATTCCTATATCCTGTTTTTCAAGTCAAAAACAAAATAGAAGCCACCCTTTACGCTACAAGTTCTAAAGAGGATGCCACCTAAAATCGAATATGCATTAAAGTTTCCTGTACTCCGCTGAAAACAAATAGAAGAAGGAATATATTAACGGTTGTCACCTCGGCTTTCGGCAACTTCGGCCACGAGCCCTTCTCCTTCTTTAATTAGTTATGAAAATATTTGGCCTCTCCGGTAATCCCAAAATTTTTTTATTCTTAATTAAAATTGACTTGTATGTGCTCCTTTCAAAAGTCTTATCGATTACCTCATGTAGCTTTAGAAATTTTTTTTATTATATATTCGTTTTGTGTTATTCTTAATTAAAATATTTTAAATTTCTTATACTTTTATATACATTATTTATACCATTTATTAAATTGTATAGTGATTCATTTAATTCTCAAAATTAAAATTCCCTGTAAGCTTTCGTGGATGAGTACAAAATTTGCAGGAGTCTTGCCAAAAATTCCGTTTCAAATATAAAAATTTAGAATCCAGTATTGGGGGAAAGCTATTTATTAATGCTCTATTAATAAAAATATAATTATTTTCAAGCATAAATCAGGTGATATAAGATTAAGCACATCGAATGCTTGGAAAATTGAAGTGTTTAGATGAAGCAAATTTCCCAAAATGTTTAATAGTATTTTTATTCTTTGTATATACCATACGGTAGAAATTAATATTTAAGAAAAAATCTTTTAGTTTTTTATTATTACATAATTTAAAAAAATGTAAATTTAAGAATTATGGAACCCTGGGTACCTATTATCTTTTCGCGTTGCGTATCATGACATTACTTTATTTTTCGATTTTTTGAATTTGTTTTATATAAAAAATGTTAATTCTGAAATTAAATATAAATAAATTGTCAAATATGTTAAATTTATTAGGTTCATCTATTATATATATCACCAGGAAGAACTTGCTGTCACTTAAAACTCTCATATAATTTTTAAAAAAATAAGTCAATCATCTTCATATTGTCATTCGAGAATCAATAAAAACTAGTGGTTTCTAATGTTTTTATTAATTTAGTCGGATTTATTTTATTCAAAATATTCCCTGCTTAAAAATGTCTAATACATACCCCACTAAAACCTCAGATCTTCAGAATTAATTAAATTTTAAGTTTAAAGATATTAATTTATCATAAATATTGTTAGTATTTTTATATATGATTATTTTATCATTTAAAAATGATATTTAGTCTGAGAACATTTATAAAAGAATTTATTAGTTAAAAAATGTAAAGAATTTAAAAGTTACTTTTAACGTGTTAAAATAACAATTTGCATTTAAAATTTCTCACGAGCAATTATGTGTGTAACATTTTTAGACCTACTTAAGAGCCTAATTAAAATACATTTTGAGTTAAATTCCAAAGTTTATTATTTAAATTATTTGAGAAGAAATTACCTGTCCCGGGATAACTATACTAGATCAAGATCTTAGTTATGGCAAGACAACGCCTCTCCTAATACACCCATTTACACATAGGGACACGTAAAATTATTTTTTCATCCTTAATATCAAAAACTCCTACAAATTTATATTCCTCTTCATCTCTTGATGACAAAACGCGAAAATCTTTTAACGAACGAACAATTAAGAGTGAACTTAGGGGATATAAATTCGGATGCGACTTAATTCAAATTTCATGAACTGCAATCTCCTAGTAAATGCCAAGGGTAGACATGACCTTAATTGCATTAAAATTAATAAAAAGCCTCCTTTAAAAGGGGGCTCATATACCTAATATTCTAGAATCTTAGAATCTACCCGCAGATAACGGTCTAGGATCTGACCGCCTGATAACTATCTATTGTTTGAAAAAATTCCTTATTTGAGATTATACTTGTATCTCACCCATCCCCCTAAAATAATAACAACCTGTTTACTTTAGCAGTGATTGTAATTAACAAATATAAAAACCTCAGAAATACAAAAAAATCTTTTATTCAAATTGTGATAATATTCAAACAAAAATAATGTTTTATTATAATTATTACTTTATTATTTAAGTTTTAGACTATGCAAATGAGATGAAAACGCGTGATAATTGTAGATTTTTCATACCTTACTTTTATTTTCGCATATAATTTTCTTAATTTTTAATCTTTTTCATTTTCATTTTATATTAATTCGTAATTGGTTAATTTATAATTAATAGTATTTAATAAAGGAATTAGATATTATGGTTTAATTTTCTTTCTATTTTATTTCTAGGCATTAATAACCATAACACATAGTATAGGCTTAGAGAGGTGTGAATTACGATAAAAATAATGACTGCAAAAGTTTCTACTTTTTATAACTTGTTTGATAATGTAAATTTATAAATTTTGAATATCATATTAATAAAAGTGTAGGAAAAATATAGAATTTTGAGTTTATAATATATAGAGATAATCATTTTGTAATATGTAATATGGAAATATAATTTTTAGTTAGAAGTTAACGCTTTAGTTATCTAACGCAAGCCCTTTGACAATTTCCCCTGCATGAAAAATTATTTGAATTTCCGTAACAACCCCCATAGTTAAATGGTAAACATTTTCTTTCTCCAGCGTTGTAATACCACCTTTCAATATAATTTTTGCATGGTCCAACATCCATTGGTAAATGACATTCTGAGTTATAAAATAATTTAAATATTATTTTATATATTATATAAATAATATACTGTTGTAACTGCTATTTGTTAGCTATATGTCATATTTCGTTTTATAAACTTCAAATTCCTGAACTTCATATTAATTATATCAAAAGATGATTTTTATGATATAAAAATGATATTCAAAATTATTTTTGATAAATCAATTAATGGAATTATGATTATCAATTTTAAAGAAATTATTAATTGCCTTAAATATTTCAAGTTTGCGTGTTGAATATAAAGATAATTTTTATAATTTCAAAACATTAAAAAATAAAATGTTAACAATCATTGATTTTTTAAGATTTAAGATGTCCGAGTTTGTTTTTTTTATGTTACGTTTAAATCGAATTCTGTATTGTTTGTACAAACATTCTAAAATTAGAATAATATATTTATAAAACCTTACTCTTTCTATATTTTAAATGAAACCTCTGTTAATCGCCTATAAAATTAAAAAAATTATTAAAGACCGGGCGGGTCAAGCCATTAAATTTCATTTTAAAATTAAATACACTGGAATATTTTTAAATGTAGTCCTTAATATAGTTTTTATTATCATGCATTATTGACAAAAGAAGATCTTTTGAAATTATATGCAAATAATAAATTTATATTATAAGATAATATTTTGGTGAAATACATAAGATTTTTGCACAAACGAATTCAAATTTTATTATGATATATAATAACACGTTAAGTTTTATTGCAAAGTTTTAACTCTCAATAAATTTTAATAATTTATATTAAAACTTTATATATAAATATATTCTTCATTTAATGAATACTTATGAAATAATGTTTTTTTTTAAATTATGTCTAAATGATAGGCCCTAACTTTTTTTTATTTTTAATTGTTAACATGTTGTGACTGAAAATTACTTGACAAAATAATTCTAAACCAATTTATAACTTTATTTTTCTGAAATGCATAATTACATATAATATAATAATTCATAATTATGTTTACAATATATCATATATTAAATTATCTAAAGAATTGGTATAAATTTTGACTTTAATTTTATTTTCATCAAGGGGAATATAAGCATGGTATTTTTGTGTTCCCGGAATTCTTTTTGCTCTCAAAAATCTGCTTTCTAGATGATTTTCCATATTATTGTATTCATTATTGCTTACAAAAATGTAATTTACTCCATGTATATTATTTTTTGCAAAGTCGAATAAATCCATTGGTGTCAAAATATGGTTTTGATATGGCAGTTGCAAACTAGCTCGAGCTGCTAGCCGTTTTGTAATACCTCCTAAACTGTCGCACGGACTTATTCCATGAGCTGTAGCAAAAAAATGCCACTCGGCCTTTATACCAAAATCACATTCATGATTATAGAGATTTATGAAATTTTTTTTATTTTTATATTGGATTACGGCCCCAATCAGAAAAATAATAAATTTTGGTCAATATATCAAATCTTTCTTTTAAAAATAAGATCATTTTAGTTTGAAATAAATAAAAGGCACAGGCATTGTGCTTTAAGCAATCTGATATCACCACTAAACTTATATGTTTTATAGTGTTGTCCTGACGATAAAAAATGATAAAAGGGTGAATAGTGGACTGATTATTTGTCCAATGAAATCCCTGTGCATGGTCTTGCACTAAAAATGCATAATTTTCCGAAAAGTCAGCAATAACTAAGTATTCGCCAACATTTAAATTAGATTTTAAATTGTTTTGAAATAATGATTGTTGTGATGCTATAAATGAATGTGGAATCAAATTGTCTAATTTCTCAATTAAATAATCTAGGAATTTATAAGCTGATTTTGTCAGCGTTTCGAGCGTAGTTCTATCAACTACCAACCATTGTTTAAATGATATATAATCTATTGAATTCGTATCAAATAATATAATAAGTCTTTCTTTTATTTGGGATGATCCAGGACAAAATTTACATTTATTGAAGTAACATCCAGGCTGGGCAGGATTGCAAAGACTTTGTGCAATACAATGTTTATAATCGTTTATTGGAGGATAATTATAATGATCATTATTGTTTGTAAGCTGTTTTAATTTTCCCCCTATTAAAATAAGCTTAAAATTTTGGTGTAGTGTGCAGATACACATGGTATGTGTACCTGGTCCACCTGCTAAAACACAGTTTTTGGGTCGTAAGAATGCAAATCTATTCACTCACAATATGTTAACAATTAAAAATAAAAAAAAGTTAGGGCCTATCATTTAGACATAATTTTTAAAAAAACATTATTTCATAAGTATTCATTAAATGAAGATATTTTTGATCAATTTAAGCCATAACTAAAAATTAATTAGGTTATATAGATATATGATTTTTTTTTTGTATTAAAGATTTATTTGGTTTATCTCAATATAAGATCAAATTAAGATACATAAAACATTATAAAAATAAAAAACTATGTAATTACATAATACAATTTTATAATTGAGTTCCCAAAAAGGAGCCATAATTATGTTTAAAAATTTCTATTTCAATTTCTTAGTTACTATATAAAAATTCTCTGGCTTCGTTTATAAAAAAACCAATATTTTATTGCCTAGATTTTTTAATAGGAAAAGTGACTATTTGTGGAAATCACTATTGGAGTAAATATGAAGTTGTTAAAATTATAATAATTAATCTTTTTAGTTTCTGCCTGTAAGTGGATTGAAATTTAAGTTTGAGGGGAATAGAGAGAAGCATGTGCAGTCCCATATCACTGATTTGCCGAGGACCTGAGGTATGGTTGTCATATCATAAGGTCTTAAGCCATCTATTTGAGATAAATTTGTGGATTCTAGATGGTTCCTAATGTGGACGGCTGTTAACCCCATATTTATTACATGGTTTATTCCTGCGTGGCGTTGACTATGTTCACACATTTTATATGATCATTTAAAATATAATATTTTATTAAATGTTTAAAATATTTAATATATTTAAAAATGGAAAATGATTAGGTGTTTTGGCATGATTGTTGCAATAGTAAAAACATATTAATATGTTATATTGTAAATTGCATGCTTATGAAATTGCTGTGCTCCAAGAAAGAATTAATACTTAAGTTTTCTCATAAAATTTATATGATACCGTATTTTTAATAAATGCGTGGAAATTTTTTTTTAAATACAACCTCCACACACATATGAATAAGTATCTTAATATATTTGTAGTGGTTTCATTTTATATGATCAACTCCTTTAGAAGATATAAAGGTTGACAGGTGGTTTTATATTTGCACTACTGCAACCGAAAGGGTTAATTTAATTATATATTTGGTGTATAGATAAGATTTTGTTAAAGGGTTATATGCTAACCCAACATTTCAGTCAAAAAATGTTATGCAAACCTCGAGATTCGTTAATAGATGTCCAAAACTTTCTGCCATCAATGAGCAAAATCTCAAGTCTTTCGTAATATAATTGACAAAAACATTGGCTTAGCTGTTTTTGAAAATGCTGTTTAACAATACTAGATAATATTATCAATAAATTTTTTTAGCACTTCAATATTAAAATTTTAACAATGGAATTCTAAATTACACACTTTACATTATAGTAAAATGTATCATAGAGAAATTGTATCTGTAAGCAGATACATAAGAAAAATATCTTTCTACAATTAGAAATTAATGAACTATAAAATTTGTTAAATATCAATTAAATTTATTATAAATTTTACATAACTAATATAGTTAAGTTTATAAATTTCTATTTTTTAATATATAAATGATACATAGGAGAGACTGGGGTTTGTCAAACCAATTTTTAAAAAATTGGCTATAGATTCTGGTTTTTTTTAGATAATATAAAAAAAATAATATTTGATTAGGTACCTAAAACTATATTCTATAAAGTTGCCTTATAAAAATTTTAAGAATAAAAACCTTTTTTTTTAAATTTTATTTTTTGTAAAAGTGAAAATTTGTCCAACAAGCCCCGATATAGGACTGAGGCAAACCACTTCAAGGGGATTCCTAAACCATTAGTTTTTTTAGGCCATAATAAATTGAAATGCATTTTTATTTAATAATAATGATACATATAGAATAATTTTATTGTTTTATTGTTCAAAATAACTTATAAATTGAAGCTAATTATATATATAAATCGAAATTTTATTTTGTTTAATAAACATTTTGGACATAAAAAATAAAAATCTTAAGGAGAGATTAGGATTTATTTCTTAGTATAAATCAGAAATACCCAGCATAAACAGCTATGAAAATGCCTTTTCAAGATTTTAAAATATTTTTCATTATTAACTGCCATAATTGACATGTATGGTTTAGCAAACCCCTCTAGCTCTAAGTTGACAAATCATGATTGCTATATCTAGATATAATAAATACACATAAAACTTTTCCAAATAGAAGAGTGTTTAAACTTTGCTGTGAAATTTAGTTTACATATAAACGATTATAAATGTTAATAAAAATTAAAATTCTGTCATGTAAAAATCTTTAGAAAATTTTAAAAATTTTATTTCTTAAATAAAATTTTTAAAATTAATTATTTCAAAAGATTTTTTGTCTATAGATGTAAACCTAATAAAACCATATTATGATAAAATTTTAACCTTATGGTATATTTAATTTTAAAATAAGATTAAGTGGTTTGCCAAACTCCGGAGTTTACCTAACCCTAGTCTCCCCTACTAAAATATTTTATCAATTTCGTAGATTATTAACCGGCTAGACCTTGTTAAGTCTCATCATAAATTTGGATTAAATGTATTATAATTATCGATAAAAAATTTAAATCATAATTTTACCGTGAGAACCATTGATTCTTGAAATATGATCAACTAAGCCTAAAATTTATTATTTCAATATATTTGTTCTTTATCAATTGTGTATAATTACCTACCTAGAATAACCAGACAGGCAATAATATTTGCTAGAAATTTCATACTAGATTTAAAAAAAAATAATGACCAAAAAAATGAGTAAAGTTTATAATAATAAATTAATTTATATATATTATTTTTTTATATATTTATAATAAAATATTAATTAAATTATACATTTATCTTTTACATAAGATATTCTTGGCAAAGATTATTGGTAAAATAGAAGAAATAGGATTGCAAATTAAATTCTCTTATACTTATGAAATAGAGAAAATGACTCTAACAGGATTTTAGTAAACACATTCATTCTTTAATATATTTATTTTTAAAAAAACGCATCAATTAGCCATTCATGACAATTAGTTTAAAAAAATTTTAATAATAATATATATACACTTATAATAAAATTAACTGTACATATCAAACATTTGATTTTGATTCCTGGTATTTAATTAAACAAGTTTTAATTTTAATTTATAAAGTGCATAGAAGAAATGTGGTAAAGATAAAAATATAAACTGTACATCTCAAACATTTTATCTTTATTGTGAATATAACTTTATGAAAATGAATGCAGAATGAAACACAAATCATGTCATTTGCAAAATATCAAAGTTTAGAGAGTAAAATTTTGTTATAATATACCTAACTATGATATGAATATGTCATAAAAATATTCAATCTCTTCGGCCGACCCCTTTTAAAATTGTTAAAGATATCTGGAATTATTTAGATAGGTAAATAAATGAGAAAGCCTATTATTTTAGCTCATTAGCACACCTGATTCTTGAGATATAGAGGCTCATAGGTACAAAAAGGAGCCATATATTGGTTTACCTGTATTTTTTAGCAAAAAAGGGAGATGTTTTTGAATTTTTTTTATTGCTTTTTATTTAGACACCTTTTATAAAACGATGTCAAAAACTTAGCGACACTATCGACTCCAAATATTGAAGAAAAAAATAGATGGCGCTTTATGAAATTACGGATTATGGTTAAAATTTTGATGCTAACTTATCAATAACCGTATATTTTCACTTTTTATACTAAAATTTTAATTTCTATTAAATATAATAATTAAACTGAGGGGCAGTGTGGGCAAATTTCCATTAGACACTTAATAATTTAATAAATTTCCAATAATAAATATCTTTCATATAATTTTTTTAATATTCATTTTTATTAACATATAGAAATATAGATAAAATCTTATTCATTTTAAGATATATTTGGAACAAAATTTAGCTAGTCAAATTTTAATGTTTAAATATATCTTTAAATTTACGAAAGTGAGAATTTGTGTACATCCTACGATCTCAGTATAAGTAGAGATATTAAATGAAAACTTTATCATACCCTACCTAAAATCAAATAATATTACTAAAGCCCGCAAAATTGAATGTAGGGGATAACTTCGCCCTTATATTCTTTTGGACTAATCACATGTATAATGGCTAGTGAGGCAATTGTTTATGATATAAAATATTTCATTATTTATCTTGTGTGTTAATAAATTTTTAATTTTGCATTTGGTGTTTTTTTTAACCTGGGTTGTGGACCCGAACCCTAAACCAGAACCCTTCAAACCCTGATATTTTACTGAACAGTAATTGTTTTTTTATTTTCAATATTAAAAACATTTTTCATGGAATCGTTTTTTTATTTAGTGTATTCATTTTATGTAAATCATCACACCATAAATCCAAATGAGAAATTAGCTTAGTTTTTCACTGAACTCAAACTTGAACACTTATTTTGATAGGAGGGTTCACAACCCTGGTTTCTACGCCCTGATATTTTAATATTTGCCCCTTTTTTTCGGCCATGAGAATTTAAATATTAATAAAATGAAGAAAAAAACACATATCATATACATTAGGTAGAGGAGTTAACAAATTACCATTTACGATATTCAATTATTTTAGTTTATGCTCCTAAATTTTATAGGCATTTTTACAAACTCCATTTCTATGTGTCCCAATCTCCTCGACATCTTATTTCAATTTTATTTTATTGAAAAAATTTATCGGCAATTGTTTATATTATGCATATATTTAAAATTTATGGGATATGACTTAAATAGCATCAGTATCATAGTCAATATCATGAAAAGATCTCCTTAATATGGTTTTAAATGTACATGATTTATATCAATTTTCAGACTCTTACATTTATTCTATTTTTTGTTTTCTGGAGCCTAATACTCCATAATAGGTTCATTCATTTATACACAATTTATTTCTTATCTTATCAGAGGTTGGGTATGAAGCCCTTAGAATATTATCCATTTTATAGAAAGGTGAATTTTCTCAAATTTTTAAGAATTTTCGTACACTATAGGCAAAATTTTATGAAATATTGTTGACTATGTAAATTCATGGAATAATAATAATTTTAAGTTATTAAAGTGTCTAGATAATAATATCTGTTACTAGATATATCATTATATATTTCTAAATATATTTTTAGAGGTAAAATAATATGTTCGAGTTATTTAATTAGATAAATAAACCAGACAAATTTTATTATACACAATGGACTACAACATGGTAAATTTAGATTTAGATGTACTATTTCAACATAATAATGATATAAATTTTGATATTCATCATATTTCGGATGATTCTATTTTATAAAGTGTTAAAGATTATCCCAATATAAAGTTGGTATTCATAAAACATAATACCCTTTTACCATCAAGTGCCCCGGTATAAAAACTTTTTAGTGTAGTTAAGAATGTCTAAACAGATAAACGGGGGTGCCTTAATGATCTAAATTTTGGGAAGATTCTACTATTGAAATTTAACAATTATTATTTAATATGTTTTGTTTACAATGATTATTTTTCATTTAATTATATATTTTGTAAGTAAATAAGATATTAATTCCAAAAATTTTTTTAGCTCAGTTCGATAGAATCCAAAATTAAGCTTTATATACATTACATAATTAGAAAAAAATTTATATCGGAGAGTATCTGCATCTAAATACATTCTTAGACAATCAATCTAATACATTTAAAGATCTTCTCAGCTTACCAATATATAATAAAATATGTTGAATCCAGAATCTGGTTTTAAAAATTTTAGAACTTTATTGAAATATAATAAAAATTTTATAAATATGCTTTGGCCATATTTTTATTTTTCTATTATTATATAAGGTTTTATTTTCATGTATTGTGATGAGGTTTTTAAATATATCAAGCCCATCTATAAATTTTCAGGACCCCCCTCCCCAAGGTTTATACGAAATATTTTTTAAAAGCAATTTTTTAAGATAATAATCCAACCAAACTAGGAATTATTACAGAATATTATTGAAACAACCGGATTATTTTATATAATTTAAAATTATGAAATAAAACTTATGTATAATTTGTAGTTCAAAAGTTACTTTAGAAAAGTAATTCGTTACATTCCGGCATGGATCTTAATAATTTTTACACAAGTTGCCTGACCCACGCGTTATTTTAATGTTTTACACCCGTCCGAACCCGATAAATTTTTTTCTGATTCCCAGCTGGCCCGTTAAAATCTTATAAAATGTCAGATCCAGCCTTATTTCCTTATAAAGATTCCGGCACGGAGTGTCATATATTTTTATGTGCCATCACATTAATGTCAATCACGGCTTATATTTTTATGGACAACTTTTAAAATCAAATGTATTCTGAAAGTTGTATTATGTAATTAACTTTATAATTTTTTGTAAATTTACAAAGAAATACGCATATTGTAATTTATTTTGAAATAGTTTATTAATCAAAATATTTTAGTCTATAGATTATTTCATGCATTTCCCAGTAATTTTACTACTTTATCTGATATCTCTGGAGTATCAACAAATACCCTTCTTACATATAGATTTTTCCTATATAATATATGAAACATAACTCTATTTATTACTCCATCCAGAGAATCCTTATCCAAAATCTTTAACATAAATATTTTCAAATCACGCATGTTTCATCTATAAAGCCAAATCTTTTAATAAATAATCTTATATAAGGAAATTTTTTATATCTAAATCAACTAAAAGGTACCGATTAAATTTCAAACGTAGCAATTTTTTTGCATTATATATTTATCTTTTACATATTAAAATTTTTTGGCATAGATTATTGGTAGAATATGAAAAATTGGATACAATAAATTCGTCTCTTCTTATGAAACAAAGAAAATGACTTTGAACAGGATTTTAATAAAATTTTTTATTCTATAAATAATAACGATTTATGTTAATTAATATATAAATTACAAGGCCATTTCCAAACACAACGTTTTTTCAAGGGGAGAAAAAACAAATACAGCCTATATCCTTCCAAATACAACGTTTTTTTAATGCTTGCGATTTTTCCTTTTTTTTAATAGATGTGAGTATATGATAAAAATATTTTTAAATCTATATCGAATCTTTTATTTTAAATAGTTGGCTATTTTATTTTGAAAAATAATTACCTATTTATTTGGAAAATAGATTCGATTTTATATTTATAAAAAATAATAAGCGGATAACTAAGTCAATTCTCCTTCGGCCCGCAAAAATTTTTTTTTAGCAATTTTCATATTTCTCCCACAATTTTTATATTACTCCCACAAAATACCGAATTTCTCCCACAATTTGAGAATTTTGACCTGGCAACCCTGTTATGCACATCTTACATATTTATAGTAAAAATGTATCTTAGAGAAATTGTGTCTGTATGTAGATACATATAAAAAGTATGTTTTACCAACTCTACAATTAGCAATTATTGAAACATAAAATTTGTAAATATCAATTAAGTAAATTTATTATAAATTTTAAACTAAAATAGTTAATGTTTATGAATTTCTGTTTTTTAATTATAAACTATACACATTAAAATATTTTATCAATTTCGTAGATTATTAACCTGCTAGACCTTGTTCGGTCTCGTCGTAATTTAGGATTAAATGTAATAAAATTATCGATAAAAAATTAAAATCATAATTTTACTTCGTCTAGCATTGATTCTTGCGATATGATCAACTAAGCCTAAAATTTATTATTTCAATATATTTGTTCTTTGTCAATTGTGTATAATTACCTACCTAGAATAACCAGACAGGCAATAATATTTGCTAGATATTTCATACTAGATTTTTTTTAAA